AATGCCCCAAACATCATTTTTCTTGAGGGAAATGTTGCTAGAATTGAACTTGAAGATTTCCCCCCATGAATTCATGTTTGGGAGATAATTACTAGTGAGTAATAATATCACTGACTGAGGTTTTCTAAGAAACAAACACTCTTCAGTGTATAGACTTTGTTAATAGCTGAAACGTAAATGCTAAATCAATGGAGATGTTTTTAGACTGCAGAGTAGGACACCTAATTTGCTTTTCATTTCTTCAGCAACCTACACAGTGCCTACTTTTTGCCAAATACTCTGCCAGACATTGGGGATGAACAGGGAAGTCCTGGAAGTACTACGGTGTGTCCTGAGCTGAGTAGGGAATTTGGATGGGTAAACGGATTTTTGGGGAACAGTGTCCTAGGTGCTGTAATGGAGGCGTGCACAGTTCCATTGGAGCAGTTGGAGGAAGGCTCTACTGCTAATGACATTTGAGTTGATTTTTAAAAAAATATATTTTATTTATTTTTTACAGAGAGGAAGGGAGAGGGAGAGTTAGAAACATCGATGAGAGAGAAACATGGATCAGCTGCCTCCTGCACACTCCCTACTGGGGATGTGCCCTCAACCAAGGTACATGCCCTTGACCGGAATCGAACCTGGGACCCTTGAGTCCACAGGCCGACGCTCTATCCACAGAGCCAAACCGGTTAGGGCTTGAGTTGATTCTTAAAAGTGTGCCAGGTTGAAAGGAAGTAAAGGGATATTCCTTATAGAAAGAATGCTCTTGGGTGGTCTAATTTCTTTTAGCTAGGAACTTGTACAATCTAGACATAGATAATTAACAACCATTAAACTTCTTAACTCAAATAGCAGGTCTTCAGTGGACCTTTAGCTTGTACTTGAGTGCAACAACTTCACGATGAAATTCTCTTCCGGGCCTGCAGAAATTTTGGCACACGGTCAAAGCCCGGTACATAGTGGATGGATTGAGGGATGAAAGGACACGGTGAGTCCAATGTCATAGATATCACAACGTGTGGATGAGATAGAGTTGTCACTGTCAGAAAACTTGGAAGCAGATTTACATTTTCAGCCAAATAGGAGAGCAATTTAATTTTGTACAGCAAAGGGACCAGCGATAGAGCCCATATTTTCCTCAGCAAATAGCGTGGGCTCTTATGAATTACCTGCACAAACATTTAGCTTGTTCTCCAGGGTCCTGCCCTATGCAACATGAAAGGAATGAATTCCCTCTAACAAAGGTTAAGGGCAGGTATTACCAGCTAATCACAACATCCCTGAACTTTCGCCAGGCCTCTGCGGAGTCTCTGATTTTAAATAGAGCCGCCTCCTCGCCGTCCCTGTAGAATTATTAAGCTGTGCAATGTATGCCTGAACAGTTCAGAGGCTTGACCCGTGGAAGGGGTTATTCTAGATAAATGATTACCAAGTGCAGTATAAGTTTTGGTGTCCTGATGTTGAGCAACTTCTCCCAACAATAACTAGTCATCAGGCCCACAGATTCTTAAGACTCCTCATTTAGAAGAATACACACACTCTTTTCTTTCAGTCTCCGGAATTGTGTGTCCACCTGCTTGACTGTTCTCTTGGATGTCTCTGCTCTCTCAGACCTAAACAGGACCATTTATACATCTTACTCTTCACCACCTGCTCCAGATCTGTACCTTCTTTTGCTGTGTGCCGCTCTCACTAAATTAATTCTTGACATCCTTCCTCAGCCCGCAAATTTAGCCAGTCAGTTTCACGTAATTGTCTGACATCCATCTACCTTTCTTCATTGGATGTGCCATCAGCCATCATCATCTATTTGAACTACTGCCCTGACCTCCTAACTGGCCCCCCTGCTTCCACTTCCGCTGTTTCTGACCAGTTCTCCACATGGCGTCTACAGTCATCTTTATAAAACGTAACTTGATTGTGTCATCTCATGCTTACAAGCCTTCACTGGCTTCCCTTTGCGCTGTAGCTAAATAAAAAGAATTTTACCCTGGCCTGCGTGGCTGGGCATGACAGAGCCCTGACTTACCTTTCCAACTTTATCTTTTCCCATTCCTCCTCTTCCCCTTTTCCCAGCTATGGTGACTCTCTTTCAGCTCTTTGATGCGCCAAGCTGTTTCCTGCCTTAGCGTCTTTTCCCTGTTTCCTTTGCCCCGAATGCTGTCATCGGTGCTTCACCTGGCTCGCTCCTCAATTTTAGGGCTCCTCTTAATCGTTACTTTTTCTTGAGAGGTCTTCCACATCGCCCAATCCAAAGTTGCCCTCCCATAATCTTGATCAAGACCCATCCGAGACTAAGATTCGTTTGCTTTACCTGTATCTCCTCACCGTAACATGATGCTCCAGGGGGACCACATCTGTGTAGTCTCCCACTGTGCCATGTAGCACAGTGCTGTACAGGGTGGTGCTTCATAACACTTTTTGAATTAAAGACTGTTTCATTAAAATAAAAGTAGACCTAGAAAGGAGACTCTTGGCCTTCTCTTTGCAATAATGACGGGGCCTGCATCTGATTCCTGTAGCAGGGTTTGCACATGGCTTCCATACGAGTGTCGAGTAGAGTCCTAACAGGAAGTCAGTTATTTGCTCTTTTGCCTTGCAAAAGAAAAGAAAGAAAAAAAAAAAGCTCGGTGGCATTTTCAGTGTTTGTCTTTGGGAGTCTCACAGACTAAGTTTAGGTCCTGGTTTTGCTCCCGTAAAGCTGTCTAATCCTCGAGCAAGTTAACCCAGTTCTCCCAGGTCTGTTTCCTCATGTATAAAATGCGGGAAATTACATCTATCCCGTGGGCTTGTTATGAAGATTACATGAGATTGTGTGCAAGGTACCTCATACCCTGGTGGGCACCTTGTGGCTCAGCCAGTCTTTTTCTTATTCCCTTTATATCACAAGAGATTAATAAGGACTCTGAGAAAACTCATTTAATTTACCTCGTAAACTTACTGTACTTATTTAATGCTAAATCATACCCAGGGGCACTCACATGAGGTCAGAATCAGTTTAAGAGGAAGTAATCCATCTCTAGGGTGCAAATAAACAGTGATGGACTGCTTATATAATGGCTAGTAATGTTGGGCTCCCTCAGAAGGATATTTGTGGAATTCACCTTTGCCTTATTCCAGGAGTTTTTTCTTTTTCAACATTATAATATTAAAATAACAAATAAATACAAATAGGTATTTTTTATTCCAGTTCAAGTAGATGTTCTGCGGAGCTGGGCCATGTGAAAATATTTTTCCCATTTTAGTATTTCTATGGAGAAGCCTTGGCAGGCCCATCGAAAACTCTGGAGTCCAAAGCTCTTCTAATTATGTTGTCATAATTTGGGGGTAATTTAAAAATTTAATATTCTGAAGACAGTTTATTAAATTTAAATGGACTGGATTCGAATTAGTAAGTGGTGTATGTTTACCACCTACTTAGGCATTCCAATCTGGACGCTTGATTGAGTTTAAGGGAAAATTATTGTGTCATATCTACCAAATTATCCAAGGTTAATTCTTTGTCTCTATGAAGTGAGAATAACTCACTGACCTTTGCCGCTATGAAATGTGTTTCACTGAATGACATGAGACAGCACTGTGGCAGGGGAATTGTTTCTCTATAAGCCAAGTCCTCCAGAGAGCCAGGGGCTGAAGCATTACAAGGTTAAGGCCTAGCCCTGGCCGGGTAGCTCAGTTGGTTAGAGTGTCGTCCCGAACACCAAGATTGCTGGTTCAATCCTCCGTCAGGACACAAAGGGGAGTCAACCAGTTGAATGCATAAGTAAGTGGAACAACCAATCGGTGTTTCCTTCTCCTCTCTCTCTCAAGTCAATAAGTAAAATTTTTTAAAAAAGATCTTGTAAAAAAAGGTTCAAGACCGATTTGCTCAAATACTGACACAGGCCAGGAGCTATGTTGTTTATTATGGGATAGGTATGGGGTGTTGACGCAAAGGGGTAGACGTGACAATTAATAGCTATGAGGCATTCATTGACTACTTGGCTCAGTTGTGTAGAGTGTGGGGACTTTCGGGAGGCCCGGGGAACAGATGTGAATTCCTTCTGGGACTCTCACTCTGCCATGTTCTGTAGCTGAAGATCTCACCTCAAACCCAAGCCAAGTATCTTGAGAATGTGTGTGATTGGTTATTTGGGACATTAGACTAATAACAGGTGAATGTACTAGCACTACAGAATGTGTGCTGTATTGACACAGGGGAGGCTATATGAGTATTGATGTCTAGACATTTAGCTCATGACCAATTTCTCATGGCAAGTTCAACTTCATAAGCTAATATAGCTAAACTGAGAATTGTGGTTGTTAATGTTAACATATGTCCAGCATAATGTTAGCATCTCATCTCAGAGAGATGACAAAATCAACAACCTAAAAATATCTGGGTGCTTCTCCCCTCCCCTTACACTGCTTCTCCCCGCCCCCAGGCATCTTACCTTGACCTTTCTTTCTCCTAAGCTCCAAGGACTCCTCTTTGGCCTCTATAAACTGTTTCCTGAGCCCATTTCTTGTACTTTCTAAATGAACTTTCTCTTATATAAAAATTAATTAATTAATTAAAAAACCAAGCTGTTCTTTTACTCATAGGTGTTGTCAAAGGGAGTAAAAGTTGATAGTATCTGTCAGTGGTTCTGGTCATTGCATTTTCTTTTGGTGTTTTCTGTTCCGTGTCTGGGGGCTGTAGTGCTTTAAAAATAAATTGGGGCAATATCTTCTCAACAATTCATGACCTTCTGTTGAGAAGAATGGGAGCGCACTAGTAAATGAGAAATAATGCATTTCCTTTGCTTCAGTGCAGACTACCTTGATGTCTAAGCGTAGGACTTCAGGGTCTCCCCCTTCCATTGAACTGATTTGATGTTTAAATGACTTCTTCAGGGTGTTTCTGTTTGATGAGATGCTAGAAAAGAAATCATAAAAGAACCACAGGAGTGTTCCTTGATGTGCCTATAAGTTACCCATGAGTAGTCTGTTGTGGAATGTGACATATCTCTTTCCTTTTTTTGTTTTTTTTCCAGAATGCTATGAACCTACCCCCTGACAAAGCCAGGTTACTGCGGCAGTATGACAATGAGAAAAAGTGGGAACTGATTTGTGACCAGGTAAGAAACAGTGATGCTTTTATCAAGAAGTAATGAAAGAAGAGATTTCCTCCCTAAATATATTAGACTTTTTTTCCCCCAGGAGATGCATGGATTTCTGTTTTGTGACTTGTTGCCTTCCTGTTTCTTAAGATCAAAGGAAAAGTTAGAGAATGACTTCTTTTATTCTTGCATGATTTTGATTCTCTCCTTTATTTTTAGACTTTTTGTATTAGATTTTCTGGGTGATCTGGTCTGGTCAGGGGGGCATCCAAATTCAGATGATCTGTTTTTCTATTTATCTCACAGAGCAGTTTATGCTGCTTGAATAAGGCAGGCCCTCTGATTTAGTCGGCTTTTCCATTCATGTATATTGATGCATATTCATACAAGAGGGTGAATTGTTTATAAAGAGACTACTTTAGGCTGATAAAAATTATTTCAGTGTTTAGAAATTCTTTTTATTTTATCATTAACTCATAACAAATTCACACACTTCAGAAGGATATAAAATAAAAAGTAGAATTCCCCCTTTTCTTTCTACCCTCATAATTGCACACCTTAGAGACTTTGAAATGTCCTTCCAGTTTCCTTTTATGTTGTTATTTAAAAACAAACAAATATATGAACACACACACTCTCTTCCTCATCTTGATACATTTGTCAGTATATATGTCTCTACCTTATTCTTTTAGATGTTCTGTAGTAGTCCATTGGCAGTGGTAGTGATTTGGGGGGGACTTTAATCTAGGACTAGGTATAGGCTAGTTGTTTTAAAACGTAGAGAGTTAAAACGTAGAAGAGTCACTCCCTAAAGGTAGAGAGTAGGCTCTGCCGATTACATATTATCAACTTTTTCATTTTGTGCCATGAGTTTCAGAGTGCTCGCATCCCTTACGTCAGGCCGCCCTGAAACTTTCTGGGAGTGCTGTAATTCCTCTGACCAGAGCTCCCTGGGGTCACTATTGCGGGGTACAATGTGTCAGGGGAGCAGAGGGGTTTTCTTAAGGGGTTTTCCACGTTTCCTAAGAAATAGATGCCTGCGGTTCTTAGAGGGTTTCTGCAGCACTCATTGTGTGTTGACCTAAGCCCCTAACTAAAACAGTAATGAAATGACGGTAAGAATCCTCCCCTCTTTTTCCATCTTATATTTGAGCACTAAGAATAGATAGCAACGGAAGAGGAAGCCTACTGCTTACATGACCGTGGTCCAAAAGAATAAAATGTGCTGACACTTACAATCTTCTTGCTAGAGACTTAATTTTTAATGACTATTAGCTAAACCTATTATTTTGAGGAAAAATGATTTTATGACAGTGAACAAATGTAATAGGGATAATTACTATAAAGGAAAGGTAATCACTCAAGCGAGGGAAGGCCAAGGGGTGAGAAGTTCTACAGTCGCACAGGTTATGAATGACAGCGCAGGCGAAGGGAGACTGGCCCTGGTGGCGGTGAAGTTAGCGCTGAGAGGAAGGGCTGAGCCATCCTTCCTTCCTCAGACCTGAAGGCGTATTCACTGCCAACTCGGTCTTCCCTGCTCCTTCCGGGTGTGAATGAATTATTAGTGTTTGTATCTCCTGTGTGCCAGGCAGGGAAGGCTGCTGATGATGGAAGAGTTCCAACAGCTGTACTCTTCTCTCAGACCAGAAGTGGCTCCATAGGGTTGATGGTGGAGTCTCGGGCAGCTTGAGGCTTGGAGAGTAGCAAATCAGTTATCTGATTATTTGCTTGATTCTCAGCTCCTCAGAGTTCAGGTTATTACTGCCTTAAATGTGACTATGCCAGGACGTGGAGAATTTAGCTACTTCATCAGTTCCTGGCAGTCCCTTCAATACAAGCTGAAGTGGCTCCATCAGTTCTGAGTTGTGGGTGATTTATTAATAGTGAAGTAATAATTATTATTGTTGTTGCCAATAGCCAGCATTTAGTAAGCAGATTTTCCGGCCAAAAGCTCTGTGTTTAATCTTCAAAGGATACCAATAAGACTTATTAGTGACTCCATTTGACATATGAGGAAAACTGAGACTGAGCGATTAAATCATTGCTGAAGGTTGCATAGCTGTTAGGAGGTAATGCGGCATAGACTGTCAGATTCCCGAGAATATGCACATTCCGGGCCTTAACCGTACTTTCTGCTCCCTTCCTCACTGAGTACGCAAGTGTTTGAATTTTATACTAAAAGGAAAAAGTACAAGCTGTTCCTCTGCCCTGCATTCTGGTATTCTTTGCTGAGAGGGAGAGAAAGCCAGGGAGTTTTAGTACAGGCACTGAGCCTCATCTACCCACGTGACCACCCCAGTGAACTTCCATTTTTTGATCAGTCATTGGGAGAATTGTGTCCAGCAGAAAACTGGACTTTTTGTCAGATACAGCTAACTTATTGGTGTGTCACCCACATGAATATGACTTCTATGTATGTTTCTGAGGGAAAAAATAAAATCCATTAGCTTAAAGCATGCATATGGCAAGTATAATGTATTTGTGTTTATTTCACTGAAGGCTTATCTTACCTGTTATCTACATAGACCTTGTCATACACACACACACACATACATACACACACACACATTTGGCACATAATCTATATCTCTCTATGGTACCTAACCTGATGGACACTCAGAATACATTTGTTTTTATGATTCCATTTATATGAAATGTCCAGAATGAAAAATTCATAGAGAAAGAAACTAGATGAATGGATGCCATGGATTGGGAGGGGGGATGAGAGACTGATAATGGGAATTATATCTCATTAACATGATTTTGCCTCTGCAACAAACAGAGATAGGGAAAAATGGGGAGGAGAATATCAGAGAAATAACTGTTTGTGTGGATGTTCTTTTGGATCCTTATCTGAACATTCATTCAAGTACTTTGTGGGGATACTGAGGCATGTTTTATAGTAGCCTGAGGTGTAGTATGAGAGTAAGGAGCTGGAAATGCTGAGTTCCTTGGATAATTACAAATGAAAACCCCCAGCTGCTTGGCAATAAGAGGGCGCTCTCCTTGCTCTTTGTACCTGTACAGACAAAGAATGCCCCTTGCTCTCACTCCTGCCTCAGTTTTTGGTGTTCCCTAAACACAGACCCTGTGCTGCACTGTTTGGCTTTGGAGTCTTGGCTGTTTTCCATCAGCTTAGGGTAAACGCTGCACTTAGGGAGCTTCGGAGATCCTGGATGGACTTTCAAATCATTACAGCAGGTAGGGTTGTAGAGACCATGCATTTCAAGCCACTTTTTATTTTCCTTTTTAAAAGATTTTTAAAATTGATTTTTAGAGAGAGAGGAAGGGAGAGGGAGAGAAACATCAATGGGACAGCAGACCCTCAATTGGCTGCCTCTAGCACGCCCCCTACTGGGGATCTGGCCTGCATCCTGGGCATGTGCCCTGACCAGGAATTAATGGTCAACCTCTCAGTGACCGGGCCTTAACCATACTTGTTACACTCAACCAACTAAGCCACACTGGCCAGGGCTCCACTCTTTATTTTTCTACTTAAAAGGTTAACATATGCTTGTCAAACAGAGAAACTGTATTAGAGCGTGTGAAGTAAAGTGTAAGTCCTTTTGCCTTTCCTGTCTGTTCATGCATTCCCTTAGTTTATTGGTGATGAAACTGAGGTTCCAGAGCATAAATGACTAGACCAGTAGCACCAAGGCTTCCCTGGCCAGAGAGATGAATGAGAACACCGAAGTTCCAAGCCCTTTCAGTTATTTCCTGTTACACATGGGCCTGGAAATATTCATTGAAACAAAAATTGTAGTAGATAAGAAGTAATCTCTGAGGCTTCATCCAAAGGCTTCTCGGGTATTATTGTTTGGGGGCATGGATTGGTTCATCACTGAATGGTGAAGTAGAAGTGGTTAGTCCTAAATTAAGGACATTTTAAATGACTAATGCCTATGGGTGTAAAATCAAGTTCTGAAGTATTATGGTGCCACACCTGAGCTGGGTTAGAAGGCTTCCTCTCTGCGGCTTTGTCGGTACCGATGGTGAGATTTATTTTGGTGGTAGATGTGGCATGGCTTGGTCTTGCCCCCTAATGGCTGGCTATTGTTTTGCATTGTAGCCTTAGTGAGAGATGGGGTCTCCCCCTTTCTTGACTTACATGGAATTATTTGAGAGAAGGAGATACAAACCAAAACAAAAGGGAGACTGAAGAGTTGGCTGGGAATCATACCCACCTGGACTCAGCTTCCTCGGGGAGATTGAATGTCAACCCTCAAGGCTCAGCATGTGTCCTGATTAGGAAAGGAGAAGACGCCTGCTGCCACTGTGCTAGAGCTAAGTCAGGCCAGGCGCACTAAGATACTCCACTACACCAAGATACTTCATTACAGCAAGAGTTGCTCTCTTGTCTTGGTCAACAACTGACCCATACCATTTGAATGTATTTAATTATTAAGAATGTCATTATTTTGTAAACCCCTCACTTACATTTCCTAATACTATGTCTTTCAAAGGGCAAGAAAGTTACTTATTGGCTAACTTGTATCAAAAGTAAAGCCAATTTGCCACTGGAATAAAATTTTCTAAAATATTAAAGAGCTAACAAAGTCACTAATCATCTGAGAGATGCAAATCAAAACAATAGGTACCATCTCACACCTGTCAGAAGGGCCATCATCAACAAATGACAAGTGCGGGAGAGGATGTGGAGAAAAAGGAACCCTCTTGCACTGCTGGTGGGAATGCAGACTGGTGCAGCCACTGTGGAAAACAGTATGGCGTCTCCTCAAAAAACTAAAAATGGAACTTCCATTTGACCCAGTAATCCCACATCTAGGAATATATCCCAAGAAAACAGAAATCAGAAAGGATATATGCACTCCTGTGTTCATAGCAGCACAATTTACAATACCTAAGATTTGGAAACAGCCTAAGTGCCCATCAGCAGATGAGTGGATTAAAAATAGTGGTACATCTACACAATGGAATACAAGGCATAATAAATAGGTAGCGACATGGTGTGGTGGGGGTCAGGGGGGAGGACGCTATAGCCTACTTCAGTGTTGGTG